TATGGAGGGAGCACTTTTCAGGCGAATGAAGAAGAGTAAGTTTTTTGAGCGAGCGGGTCGAGTAGTGTTCGTGTCTCGAAAAAGGGGTGGCTGAGGGTTTTTGACCACTATCACGAGGAAAGTGAAGGAAGAATTTGAAATACGAAAAAACTTTGGTCTTCTTCTTTACACGTTTTTTTTGAGATTAAGTTGAAACTGGCAGGAAAGAAATTTTTTCCAGGAATGATTTTTGTTGGTTTGAAAGTTTCGTTGTATCAATTTTAAGATTCGTATTATTCAATTCGTAATAGTGGAATTCGTAATACTTGCAATAGCACTAGTATTGTAAGAAAGAGTAGATCATGTGCTTCCAAATGAAATCTTGTTTAATTTTCAATAAGCTCTGATTGCAGAGGTAGTGGAGAAAGGAAATCACATAAGAAATGGATCTAAGCATCCTCAACGATTCTAAGTAAGAGTAAACGTGGTATAAAATCAGAGAGTAATTTCTGTTTTACTGAGCAAAATTTGTGCTGATAGAGCTCTTCTATGAAAAGTTATGATGTGCTGGAGAGTATCGGAAAACACATTTTCTCATTTGTCGCAATTTTCGCGAAGATCACAACGTTTCAAAGAAGAGCTCATCATCACAAATTCGCTCAGCTAAAAGAGGGGGTCAGAAAAACTATGTTCATGCCTGTCTCAGATTTTATTGCACAGTTTGAATTTTTGACTCGCCTGCTTAGAACATCCATCTTGTGGTTTCGTTCTCCATTCTTCGCGATAAGAGCTCAGTAAAAAGTGAACAAGGTGTCATAAAATGTACGGAATTCATTCACTCTTTCTAGACTAAGGTCAAGCAAGTTTATAATGGGAGGGGATTTGAATTTTTGGATCTGTTGCGACAGAACTTCGGGACCAACCCAATATGCTATCTGTAATCTTGAGAGGCTGCTTGCTAGAATTTTTCGTTCCCAGCTGCTGTTCGGGTCCACTTTACAATCTGTAGTGATGCCGAAAAAGCAATTTGTCAGGATTAGGTTAAAGGTGGAGCCGAAAGGTGCCAGTTGCAGCCATTTGTCAAGCTTAGCGGGGGCTCCCGCCTGCGCGAGTCTGGCACAATCAGCTACAGTCTCTTCGAGGCTGTTGCTTCTAGGTTTCTTTGCTTTGTCTATGTAATCATCGACCAGAATTTTTTAATTTTATTTTATTTTAACTTTCAGAAAAATGGTGTTTTTGTGTCAACAGCCAGGTTTGGATCGATCTACTCTCATGGAGCAAGCGGAGTTATTGCAGGTATATGATTGCAATCTAAGATTTCAAAAAAATTGCATCGAATTGTTTTAAACAGGAGCGAAACGAGCTGATTGAAGACGTTCGTTTCGTACGCCGGCTTCTGTTCGAAGAGCTCTGGGAACCACTGACCGCAAGTGAAGAGGAAATGAAGGGAGAAGAAAAAGTACTATCCTATTTGGTTCGCGGCGAAGTCCGCAAAACCTGTTTCAAAATTGAAGATGACCAATCGATGTCCCTCAAAGTTATTCTCTTTGGGTGCCAAGGAAGCGAACCCGCAGTTAGAGAATGTAAGATTGTGACCTATAGTGAACATAAATAGTTGTTCTATAATCATATTCAGGCACTATGCACACAGGTTGCGGTTCTGTCGGTTCTCCACTCCTGAATAAACCGGGAAACCGCTGGAAAGGCGACCGAAGATGCGTCTGCCTCCACTTCGGAGACTTGGTCATCGAGAAAATCGGAGAGAGCACCGCTTTGCAAGCCTCCGTACGCGACGCTCTTCCCCGGAAGCACGACCTCAGTAAAATTCGTAAACCTGGACGACGAAGAACTACGACTGCAGCTTGAGCACCTCGGTGGAAGAGCATAGATTCAAGTGTTTATATGTCCTCTATAGCTTGTTGTACAATAAAAGTTTTATTCGAGATGCTGCTCTATATATTTCGGTATTGCTGAGCTTGACCAAGATTGGTATTACATTTTTTTTGGCTTCGACGTTTCGGCGATTTACCCCTTTTCGTAGCCTAAAAAGACGAACGTATAGGTGCCTCTCCATTCAGACTCAAGTGTCAGAAACAAACTTTCGTCTCTTATATCGTTTGAGACTAACTATATAGGAGGAATGAAGATGAACTTTATCATCATTGATCGCTGAGGGAAAAATCTTAAAGTCTGAAAGAATTTCTAACTCAACCAAACGCAAACCGTTCAGCTGTATTTGATACTAGCTGATAGCCCCGGCCTCATCCGAGGCTCCAAATTAGTTTAGCTAACAAAACGTATGAACTTACAATTTTAAACTTCTTCAAACATGCGCAAAAAGCGCTTTGAGACGACTTGCCGCATCCTCCCGACTTTGAGATAGAAATGGACTCTACCGCCCCTGCTTACATGTTTATGGAAAAATGATCGGTTGGAGTATGAAAAGTTTTCATTCTTCTGGATTTCAGTAAACAAATCAATAAATCGATAAAACGGCCCAGTGAGCCGCCACGAAAAGTAGTCCTAAACCACCGCCGGGGTCAAAAACATAGGTGTGCAAAGTTTCAGCTCAATCGGTTCAACGGCTGGCGTTTCTATAAAGCACTAACAACCTAACGAACATCCTCACAGACTTTGAGTTATATATATCAGGTTGTCCCATAAGTTCCGTCCGCTTTGGATTTCAATCGCAATAAATTATGAACTTCATGTTCCTAGATAGGTTTCAAGGTACCATTCGATAGAGCAAATCAAGCTCTACAAGGAGGCTATCTCGCTTTTGCATCAGCTCTGATCCATCTCGAGTTTCAAGGCGAAAACTAAAAAGATCCAACTGCCCGAAAAATCGAGAAAAAATCATAACTCCGTCTAAAAAAATTCTGTAAAAATTCTAACTTGCTCGCGTAAACAGTATCCATATAACACATTTATATACGCCATTGCCGTGTTTTTTCCTTGGCCAGAAATCAAGAAAATGAAGATTTTCACGCTTTTGCCAAAGTGGTGCTGTGATGTCCCTACATAGATAGTTGTATACTACTAGCCTGTAGAAGTACAAATGTAAATTTTCAGCTCTCTACAGGCACTAGCTTTCGAGAAATATGGATTTTAGCGTAAGGCATCCAACTAAGGCAAGCTGTATTCGATATTTCTCGAGAACCAAAGCTTGTAGAGAGCTGAAAATTTATGTTTGCACTTTTACAGGCTAGTAGTATACAACTATCTATGTAGGGACATCACAGCACCACTTTGGCAAAAGCGTGAAAATCTTCATTTTCTTGATTTCTAGCCAAGGAAAAAACACCGCAATGGCGTATATAAATGTGTTATATGGATACTGTTTACGCGAGCAAGTTAGAATTTTTACAGAATTTTTTTGAACGGAGTTATGATTTTTTCTCGATTTTTCGGGCAGTTGGATCTTTTTAGTTTTCGCCTTGAAACTCGAGATGGATCAGAGCTGATGCAAAAGCGAGATAGCCTCCTTGTAGAGCTTGATTTGCTCTATCTAACGGTACCTTGGAACCTATCTAGGATCAAGAAGTTCATGATTTATTGCGGTTGAAATTTAAAACGGACGGAACTTATGGGACAACCTGATATATATATATATATTATATATTATATATATATAGATTTAGAGAAATTTCATTTATGAACATATACTTGATCATTTTCAATAACATTCGCAAACTTCCGATTTTTTTCGGCTCCAATGGAATTGTTTTAAACTTCTCCTCGAAGGGGACATATTGCTGGCATTCGTACAATTTGTTCTTCTTGATAGCGCTTGCTGTGCATTTAGTTGTATGCTAGATAGTGATAGCGCTTCTAAAAAGCTTTACTTGACACTGTAGCTACTCATTCTTCTCCTCTTTCGAAAAAAATAAACGTTGATGAAGTGAATGTGTTAGAATGAAACAGAATAATGAAACCCTACAACTCTTGCATTCATCCTCAAATCAAACTAAACGTTAACCAGTGCTTTTGTATCTCTTTCCAGCAGCAACGGTTTTTAGCTGTATCATCCCAGCATTGCAAAAGTAATCACGGAAATTCGAACCCAATATTTCTAGCGTTTAAATATGTAGTTGCTCACATCTGTGGCAAAGAATTACAAGTTAGATAAAAAGCGGTAAACGCTTGTTATTAATATTATGCACACCTAAGATTTGACTATGGACAATTTACGAGCTTTTGAATCCCTAGGAGTTTCCAAGACTTTGTGGAGAGAAGAGGAGCTGAACACCATTCAGAGTACTTGCTTCATTATTCTAGTCGATTTGCGAAATCTCTTTCTTTTCAACCTAGTGTACAGTAGATGATCAAATTCCAATAGGTCAACGTACATTCAATTTTGGACATGACGAGTGGAACAAGTGTTTAGAACAGTTTCATATTTATGCATTAGGTAAACACATCACATAGAACCACTTTATGTACAGTCTTGGGCATAAACAAGAAACAGTTGTAGCAATTCAATATAAGGAATGGAGGGATGTAAGTGCGTCTCACTGAGATCGTCAGGGTGTTTTGACCGTGCCATAAATCGTGTGTGCACTTATGCTACAATACCACCCGTAATTTGTGAAAAAAAAATGGCGGCGGGCACTTAACTTACGCGGCGCCGCCGAAGTTAGGTGACTTTTGCCGCGTCGCGCGGCAAAAGTCGGCGGAAAAGCGGCCAAAGTCACCTAACTTTGTCGCGCAACGCCTAACTTTTTATAAAAAAAGACCTTATCTTGATTCAAAATTCATGAATTCTATATATAAGAGTACCATTCAACTCAGCTCGGCGAGGCGCATCTTCCAATATACGGATGTGCCTAGTTGTGGGATATAAGTTTCTTTCCTGGAATTTAAATGTAAATGGACCATTCAGTGTGCTTATTCCAGAGGCTACGTACACATTCTATTGAGCACAGCAGAAATAGGGCAGGTATAGTTTAAGAGCTCATTCTGCATGGATATATGTGAAACTGGGCAGCTCATTCTGCATGGATATGTGTGAAAGTGGGCTTTTCTCGGCGAAGTATGACGGGTCCCAAAATGCAGGAAGACAAAGGGAAATGGTTGGAAATCGCATGAGAAGCACATATCGCGGAATGCCGCGCGTGCTGTGCAATGTACAATACCACTCACAGAACGGGAATTGCGCGAAATTCCAGAAGTTTCGCGATTCCGGATTATCGCAAATTATGCAGCGCCATAACTTCCTTCGGAATTAATATATTCTAAATTCGAAAGCAGCACTGTGTTCATCTCGTGAAGGCGAATCTTTCTACGTACATCATGTCATCAATATCTTGTTTTCAGTTTTCTCAAATTGTTCTGAGGAGGTCCCTTTGCAAGTATGTAACGCAGCGCCTATCCAACTTGAAAGCTTCCAGTAAGCACCATTCGATAGTGCTCTTCTTGTGCATTATAGTGCGCTAGTAAGCTGCCGCAGACTTCTTTTCAAAAGAGAAAAAAGCGTTGGTAAATTCTGGAAAAATCACTCGTTTCCAGATTCTACTTGCCGTAACTTTCTTTGGAGTGGATATTTTCTGAATCCGAAAAATGCATTGTGCTCAGCTCATCAAGGCAAATCTTTCGGTATGCAGAATGTCCTTGATATCTCGATTTCAGTATTCTCAAAACTTTCTGCGGACGTCTCTTCGCAAAGGTGTGAAGCAGCGCGTATTGCCCCCAGTACATTCAGAAAGAAATTTTCAATAGTACTTCTTTTGTAGATTATGGAGCGCTAGAAAGTAGCCGCACACTCCTTTTCAAAGGAGTTAGAAGGGCTGGTGAATTCTGGAAAAATCATGTCCTTCTAAATTTTTCTCAACGTAACTCTAAAATATGAAGCTCTCTTGCTAAAAGCAGTGGTATCAACGCAGAGTACTGAAAACCTCTATAAGCGAAGTTTTCCTTACAATCCAGGAGCATCAACATTTTGACCAAAATCCATCGGCGAGCTTCCAGAGCGTAAAACGAGAAAAAATGAAATGACCCGAAAATCTCGGAAAACTTGCTCATAGTGGTTATCCGACCTGCTGGTTACGAAAAATCACATCTGCTTAGCAAGAGAGCTTCATATTTTAGAGTTACGTTGAGAAAAATTTAGAAGGACATGATTTTTCCAGAATTCACCAGCCCTTCTAACTCCTTTGAAAAGGAGTGTGCGGCTACTTTCTAGCGCTCCATAATCTACAAAAGAAGTACTATTGAAAATTTCTTTCTGAATGTACTGGGGGCAATACGCGCTGCTTCACACCTTTGCGAAGAGACGTCCGCAGAAAGTTTTGAGAATACTGAAATCGAGATATCAAGGACATTCTGCATACCGAAAGATTTGCCTTGATGAGCTGAGCACAATGCATTTTTCGGATTCAGAAAATATCCACTCCAAAGAAAGTTACGGCAAGTAGAATCTGGAAACGAGTGATTTTTCCAGAATTTACCAACGCTTTTTTCTCTTTTGAAAAGAAGTCTGCGGCAGCTTACTAGCGCACTATAATGCACAAGAAGAGCACTATCGAATGGTGCTTACTGGAAGCTTTCAAGTTGGATAGGCGCTGCGTTACATACTTGCAAAGGGACCTCCTCAGAACAATTTGAGAAAACTGAAAACAAGATATTGATGACATGATGTACGTAGAAAGATTCGCCTTCACGAGATGAACACAGTGCTGCTTTCGAATTTAGAATATATTAATTCCGAAGGAAGTTATGGCGCTGCATAATTTGCGATAATCCGGAATCGCGAAACTTCTGGAATTTCGCGCAATTCCCGTTCTGTGAGTGGTATTGTACATTGCACAGCACGCGCGGCATTCCGCGATATGTGCTTCTCATGCGATTTCCAACCATTTCCCTTTGTCTTCCTGCATTTTGGGACCCGTCATACTTCGCCGAGAAAAGCCCACTTTCACACATATCCATGCAGAATGAGCTGCCCAGTTTTCACATATATCCATGCAGAATGAGCTCTTAAACTATACCTGCCCTATTTCTGCTGTGCTCAATAGAATGTGTACGTAGCCTCTGGAATAAGCACACTGAATGGTCCATTTACATTTAAATTCCAGGAAAGAAACTTATATCCCACAACTAGGCACATCCGTATATTGGAAGATGCGCCTCGCCGAGCTGAGTTGAATGGTACTCTTATATATAGAATTCATGAATTTTGAATCAAGATAAGGTCTTTTTTTATAAAAAGTTAGGCGTTGCGCGACAAAGTTAGGTGACTTTGGCCGCTTTTCCGCCGACTTTTGCCGCGCGACGCGGCAAAAAGTCACCTAACTTCGGCGGCGCCCGCGTAAGTTAAGTGCCGCCGCCATTTTTTTTCACAAATTACGGGTGGTATTGTAGCATAAGTGCACACACGATTTATGGCACGGTCAAAACACCCTGACGATCTCAGTGAGACGCACTTACATCCCTCCATTCCTTATATTGAATTGCTACAACTGTTTCTTGTTTATGCCCAAGACTGTACATAAAGTGGTTCTATGTGATGTGTTTACCTAATGCATAAATATGAAACTGTTCTAAACACTTGTTCCACTCGTCATGTCCAAAATTGAATGTACGTTGACCTATTGGAATTTGATCATCTACTGTACACTAGGTTGAAAAGAAAGAGATTTCGCAAATCGACTAGAATAATGAAGCAAGTACTCTGAATGGTGTTCAGCTCCTCTTCTCTCCACAAAGTCTTGGAAACTCCTAGGGATTCAAAAGCTCGTAAATTGTCCATAGTCAAATCTTAGGTGTGCATAATATTAATAACAAGCGTTTACCGCTTTTTATCTAACTTGTAATTCTTTGCCACAGATGTGAGCAACTACATATTTAAACGCTAGAAATATTGGGTTCGAATTTCCGTGATTACTTTTGCAATGCTGGGATGATACAGCTAAAAACCGTTGCTGCTGGAAAGAGATACAAAAGCACTGGTTAACGTTTAGTTTGATTTGAGGATGAATGCAAGAGTTGTAGGGTTTCATTATTCTGTTTCATTCTAACACATTCACTTCATCAACGTTTATTTTTTTCGAAAGAGGAGAAGAATGAGTAGCTACAGTGTCAAGTAAAGCTTTTTAGAAGCGCTATCACTATCTAGCATACAACTAAATGCACAGCAAGCGCTATCAAGAAGAACAAATTGTACGAATGCCAGCAATATGTCCCCTTCGAGGAGAAGTTTAAAACAATTCCATTGGAGCCGAAAAAAATCGGAAGTTTGCGAATGTTATTGAAAATGATCAAGTATATGTTCATAAATGAAATTTCTCTAAATCTATATATATATAATATATAATATATATATATATATCAGGTTGTCCCATAAGTTCCGTCCGTTTTAAATTTCAACCGCAATAAATCATGAACTTCTTGATCCTAGATAGGTTCCAAGGTACCGTTAGATAGAGCAAATCAAGCTCTACAAGGAGGCTATCTCGCTTTTGCATCAGCTCTGATCCATCTCGAGTTTCAAGGCGAAAACTAAAAAGATCCAACTGCCCGAAAAATCGAGAAAAAATCATAACTCCGTTCAAAAAAATTCTGTAAAAATTCTAACTTGCTCGCGTAAACAGTATCCATATAACACATTTATATACGCCATTGCGGTGTTTTTTCCTTGGCTAGAAATCAAGAAAATGAAGATTTTCACGCTTTTGCCAAAGTGGTGCTGTGATGTCCCTACATAGATAGTTGTATACTACTAGCCTGTAAAAGTGCAAACATAAATTTTCAGCTCTCTACAAGCTTTGGTTCTCGAGAAATATCGAATACAGCTTGCCTTAGTTGGATGCCTTACGCTAAAATCCATATTTCTCGAAAGCTAGTGCCTGTAGAGAGCTGAAAATTTACATTTGTACTTCTACAGGCTAGTAGTATACAACTATCTATGTAGGGACATCACAGCACCACTTTGGCAAAAGCGTGAAAATCTTCATTTTCTTGATTTCTGGCCAAGGAAAAAACACGGCAATGGCGTATATAAATGTGTTATATGGATACTGTTTACGCGAGCAAGTTAGAATTTTTACAGAATTTTTTTAGACGGAGTTATGATTTTTTCTCGATTTTTCGGGCAGTTGGATCTTTTTAGTTTTCGCCTTGAAACTCGAGATGGATCAGAGCTGATGCAAAAGCGAGATAGCCTCCTTGTAGAGCTTGATTTGCTCTATCGAATGGTACCTTGAAACCTATCTAGGAACATGAAGTTCATAATTTATTGCGATTGAAATCCAAAGCGGACGGAACTTATGGGACAACCTGATATATATAACTCAAAGTCTGTGAGGATGTTCGTTAGGTTGTTAGTGCTTTATAGAAACGCCAGCCGTTGAACCGATTGAGCTGAAACTTTGCACACCTATGTTTTTGACCCCGGCGGTGGTTTAGGACTACTTTTCGTGGCGGCTCACTGGGCCGTTTTATCGATTTATTGATTTGTTTACTGAAATCCAGAAGAATGAAAACTTTTCATACTCCAACCGATCATTTTTCCATAAACATGTAAGCAGGGGCGGTAGAGTCCATTTCTATCTCAAAGTCGGGAGGATGCGGCAAGTCGTCTCAAAGCGCTTTTTGCGCATGTTTGAAGAAGTTTAAAATTGTAAGTTCATACGTTTTGTTAGCTAAACTAATTTGGAGCCTCGGATGAGGCCGGGGCTATCAGCTAGTATCAAATACAGCTGAACGGTTTGCGTTTGGTTGAGTTAGAAATTCTTTCAGACTTTAAGATTTTTCCCTCAGCGATCAATGATGATAAAGTTCATCTTCATTCCTCCTATATAGTTAGTCTCAAACGATATAAGAGACGAAAGTTTGTTTCTGACACTTGAGTCTGAATGGAGAGGCACCTATACGTTCGTCTTTTTAGGCTACGAAAAGGGGTAAATCGCCGAAACGTCGAAGCCAAAAAAAATGTAATACCAATCTTGGTCAAGCTCAGCAATACCGAAATATATAGAGCAGCATCTCGAATAAAACTTTTATTGTACAACAAGCTATAGAGGACATATAAACACTTGAATCTATGCTCTTCCACCGAGGTGCTCAAGCTGCAGTCGTAGTTCTTCGTCGTCCAGGTTTACGAATTTTACTGAGGTCGTGCTTCCGGGGAAGAGCGTCGCGTACGGAGGCTTGCAAAGCGGTGCTCTCTCCGATTTTCTCGATGACCAAGTCTCCGAAGTGGAGGCAGACGCATCTTCGGTCGCCTTTCCAGCGGTTTCCCGGTTTATTCAGGAGTGGAGAACCGACAGAACCGCAACCTGTGTGCATAGTGCCTGAATATGATTATAGAACAACTATTTATGTTCACTATAGGTCACAATCTTACATTCTCTAACTGCGGGTTCGCTTCCTTGGCACCCAAAGAGAATAACTTTGAGGGACATCGATTGGTCATCTTCAATTTTGAAACAGGTTTTGCGGACTTCGCCGCGAACCAAATAGGATAGTACTTTTTCTTCTCCCTTCATTTCCTCTTCACTTGCGGTCAGTGGTTCCCAGAGCTCTTCGAACAGAAGCCGGCGTACGAAACGAACGTCTTCAATCAGCTCGTTTCGCTCCTGTTTAAAACAATTCGATGCAATTTTTTTGAAATCTTAGATTGCAATCATATACCTGCAATAACTCCGCTTGCTCCATGAGAGTAGATCGATCCAAACCTGGCTGTTGACACAAAAACACCATTTTTCTGAAAGTTAAAATAAAATAAAATTAAAAAATTCTGGTCGATGATTACATAGACAAAGCAAAGAAACCTAGAAGCAACAGCCTCGAAGAGACTGTAGCTGATTGTGCCAGACTCGCGCAGGCGGGAGCCCCCGCTAAGCTTGACAAATGGCTGCAACTGGCACCTTTCGGCTCCACCTTTAACCTAATCCTGACAAATTGCTTTTTCGGCATCACTACAGATTGTAAAGTGGACCCGAACAGCAGCTGGGAACGAAAAATTCTAGCAAGCAGCCTCTCAAGATTACAGATAGCATATTGGGTTGGTCCCGAAGTTCTGTCGCAACAGATCCAAAAATTCAAATCCCCTCCCATTATAAACTTGCTTGACCTTAGTCTAGAAAGAGTGAATGAATTCCGTACATTTTATGACACCTTGTTCACTTTTTACTGAGCTCTTATCGCGAAGAATGGAGAACGAAACCACAAGATGGATGTTCTAAGCAGGCGAGTCAAAAATTCAAACTGTGCAATAAAATCTGAGACAGGCATGAACATAGTTTTTCTGACCCCCTCTTTTAGCTGAGCGAATTTGTGATGATGAGCTCTTCTTTGAAACGTTGTGATCTTCGCGAAAATTGCGACAAATGAGAAAATGTGTTTTCCGATACTCTCCAGCACATCATAACTTTTCATAGAAGAGCTCTATCAGCACAAATTTTGCTCAGTAAAACAGAAATTACTCTCTGATTTTATACCACGTTTACTCTTACTTAGAATCGTTGAGGATGCTTAGATCCATTTCTTATGTGATTTCCTTTCTCCACTACCTCTGCAATCAGAGCTTATTGAAAATTAAACAAGATTTCATTTGGAAGCACATGATCTACTCTTTCTTACAATACTAGTGCTATTGCAAGTATTACGAATTCCACTATTACGAATTGAATAATACGAATCTTAAAATTGATACAACGAAACTTTCAAACCAACAAAAATCATTCCTGGAAAAAATTTCTTTCCTGCCAGTTTCAACTTAATCTCAAAAAAAACGTGTAAAGAAGAAGACCAAAGTTTTTTCGTATTTCAAATTCTTCCTTCACTTTCCTCGTGATAGTGGTCAAAAACCCTCAGCCACCCCTTTTTCGAGACACGAACACTACTCGACCCGCTCGCTCAAAAAACTTACTCTTCTTCATTCGCCTGAAAAGTGCTCCCTCCATACATTTGGGTGCTTCCCTTTCGTGCTCACAGCCTTCCACAGGCCACGTCACAGGTCCGACGCAGCTACCGTAATCAACCGAACCAACTCTCACTACCGCACAATTGAACGAAGGTACGTTTTGAGAAGCAGATAACAACCATTCACACTAACATTTCGGGGTACTGTAGATTTGGCTCGGAAACAGATAGTGATTCCAGAAAAAAAGAATTAATTGAAGAAATGGAAGTAAAAGAAAAAACATCACCTTCTTTTTCCTCAGATTATTTCAAAAAAATTATAGACATTACTTGCCTTCTAGTCATATCTTTTTAGAACACTGACTGAGGTTTTTCTTCTCGTTTGAGCAGTTCAGGAACAGACTTTAGTCTCATTACCTCGCCCAGATTTCTGGAGTACTCTACAAAGTTCGACGAAAAGGAAAACTCGCTTTCATTGTAGTGTATCTCAATAAAAGAGCGAAACTCGAACACCTCCTGCATCATTTCCTACTGTTTCCACACTTCAAATACAGGACCAGGCTATCACTGGCTTAGTGCCAGTTTACCATTGTTTCTGGTTTCACTTCATTTTTGCATTCACTTCCATCTGAGTGCACATATGTAGCTAGCCGACACTATTTCTGTCAAATACAGACATTCCCCTGAAAAATAAAAATTAGAGCCTAACAAACAATAAATAATGACAACAATAGCCAAAACAAACCAACAAACTAAAAGAATCAGGCTCAAAAAATACCAGTGTACCACTTTTGATAATAATCTGAAAGTTCCAACCCCCGAAAAAAAAACATTGCAAGTTTCTGTATCAGAGAGCTTTGGTGTCAAACAATAACATTCAGGCTTTCATTCCTGAACGCAATTCGCAGATTCCTCTACGTTATCCGCAAGTTATGATTTTTGAAATCAGTCCTTGAGAGTTGTGCGCGTAAACTGGGCTGGTCCCGGAAGTATACCGTAACAGCTACAATACCTCACAGAACATGCAAAATTTCCGGGAATTACGCGGAATTCCCGGAATTTCGCGGAACCGGAAATTTTGCATGGTCTGTGAGTGGTATCGTATTTTGGAAACAATTCACAAGAGAGAACTGGTCCCCGAAAATAAGTACATAGATTTCGGCAACATCGCAGATATCGAGAGTTCCCCGCCTAATTTCGTTGACCTTTCTCTTTCCTCATATTCTACCAAACGATAAACAATATTATGCGCTTGTCTTTTCAAAAAATTGTGGAACTATTAACAGCCTATCAGAACCATACTGGCCATCATTAATTCGTATGACATAAAACACGCTTTGGTCCGGAATGACAGAAACTGAAAGACTGGCGTGGTCGCGAGCGAATTAAAATTCGTTTGAGGACAGTTAAGAAGTTTTTGAGACATCATCAACTTAAAGAGGTTGTGTCTTGTAATGCGAACGTGGGCACTTCCCATCGAGGCAATTTCATCTCAGGCAACGGATAGGACCCCTCCGCCGGAGAAATGGCAGGGTCGCGCCGTTTCCCCAGCGGTGGGTCTCCCATTTGTCCGGCGGAGCCCTCCCATTTCTCCGGCGGAGACCTCCCATTTCTGCTCCGGATACCTCCTATTTTCTGCTCAGGAGACCTCCCATTTTCTGCTCCGGATACCTCCCATTTCTGCTCCGGACCCCTCCCATTATCTCCGGCGCGGCTCTTCCAAATCTGGCGGACTCGCGCCGGACAAATTTCTCCGGCGCGAGTCCACCAAATCTGGCAGAGTCGCGCCGGAGAAATGACGGACCTTTGCAGCAGGGCCGGAGAAGCCTCCCACTTGCCTGCCAGTGATGTCACCGCGACGGACCGCCCATTTGCCCCTCTCTCATTGGTCAACTGGGTCCGGCGCGACTCTGGCAGATTCGGACTGTCCGGCGGAGGGGTCCCGTCGATTGTCTGAGATTGTAGAGCTCTGTTCTTTTCTTTTACTATCACGATCGTTCCATAATAAATTAACCAGAGTGATTTTTGCTTTGTACCTGCCCAAGACCAACAGCAGTGTCATGTACCTGTCCTGTCTGAAGTAACGCAAAAATTTAAAATGAAGTTCCTCTTCTATCTTAGGAGTGGTAAATCAATTGAGAATCGGGAAAATTCCTGCTCTTTAATCAAGGAACCTTGCTTAGTCTCTACATCTGAAGCTAAGCTTGCTCAAATGAAACTCAGCCGAACAAGCTTCCTTTACTTACGGGAAAAAAATTCACGGAAGCCTTCAAGGGAAAGATTTTCAATGCAAAAACAGCGCATAACACAAATGACGAATTTACGTCCAAACACTCTGGCTAATCAGTCTCCATTATGAAAATGGTTACTTCACTAAACTTTCCTCCAGTATCCGTATCTTCATATCTAATATTGAACCTATGAACCTCGCTAAAATGCAGCATTTTGGTGTACAGATGCACTGTATGATAGTTTACTTTCCGTTTCAGACCATACAAAATAACAATGAAAAGACCAACAACAATTAGAGTTGCTTCTACAACAATCACAACAATCACTTTACGAAGTTACATAGATCCATGATGTACAATCCGCTTAGATTACAAATGCTCCAGAAACATGTATGTACAGAGATACAATCCTTATCTAGAATAACATACTGCAGCTGACTAGCGCCATTCTCGATAACTACCGCGTGCATTGTAAGCTCCGCGACCTCTTGGCACATAACCTCCTCTCGAACCTTGATTGTCATATCCACTATTAGGGTACCCTCTCCTATTAGATGGATAACCGCGGTCGCTACTACTGTAACCTCCTCGGTCATAGCCTCTTCCACCACCACCACCACCACCATAGCCTGGACTTTGATTGTAGCTAGAAACTCCATTGCGACTTCCATAGCTACTTTGGTCATTGTAACCGCCTAGAAGAATAACAATAGTTCTAAGGTGATTGCAAATTCTTGATAGAAACCTCTGTATCCTCCACCACCATTGTATGAGTTTCCTCTTCCTCTGTAACCACGGTCATCTAAAATAAGGTGAAGTAAGATATGCAGGTGTAAAGAATAACCATGACAACTACTTCAAGCAATTGCAAGAGCGTATGTAGAAGGCTTACCATAACCTCCGTAACCACCCTCTCGCTGAATAAATCGATGAGCAGACTCATCCAAACTTGCCCGTCCGGGAACATCGCGAGTAAATCCTATTTGTGGGCGATAATCGTTGCCGTTCTGTAAGAAGCAATCAGGCACGATTTTTTTTTATCTTGGCGATGTATGACAGCGCAACTTACACGACGGTCACTATAGTCACGAAGTGTGCGAGGTATCTCTTTAGCGTGTTCCAGCCGCCTTGCAGGGAATATGAAGCCTTCGGGATATTGGGGATCCTCGTATATCACCATGATAGCTCCATTTACCTTACATATATGAGTAAAAAAGAATGTCTAAAGAATGGCTGATCCAAAAAAAGCAACTCACGGCCAGATCCGGACATGTCTTATCTCGTACAGGTGAAGGAAATGGCTGATCAGGGGCTACAGCTGTCTCATCAGCTATTATTCTACCACTAACACCGTAAGTAAACGCTGGATCGATATCTACTGATTTTGACTCTGCAAACATGACAGTAAGGCTATTGTGCCAGTATAACAGAAACAATCTGACCTCCATCAGGATTTGCATAGAGTTCTTGGAAAAAGTCAAAAGCCGGATGATTTCGACCAATAAATATTCGGTTGGGACCTGTGGTATTTCGTGCTCGCTCTTCATCGGTCAGCGTATCCTCGACCTATGAATGAGACTTTTTGGACTCTGTACCGATCAGAATGGCGAAAGTGGAATGCCCAACTGCGTTTATTTATAAGGGAATAGTTTAGCACTGCTAGCAAGGGCAGCGAAATTCGTCGGCGGATAACTATGAACAACACAAAGTATTGACAACGACCGAAGAAGAAACAAACCGATTCAAGTGCTTTCAGCAAACGATCCTCGTCGACAAAAGGTAAAAGTGCAACACCTTGCCATGCATACTTCTTGCCATTCAAATCAATACGAAAATCAATAGGATAAAGATCAATTATGGGCGAGTCCTCCTCGGTCATCAATTTCTGCCACTCTGGAGGAAGATGTTGCCTAAAAACGGAGGATCAACATTCCAGTCTAGAAGGAACAATTTTTGAGCTGAACACGAACTTGCTGGCAGCAGGAAACACGCTCATCAGCTGTTGCAACGGTTTGAACGGCTTTGTCGGACGAGAAAAATCTGGCTTGAATTGTGCAACCGTATCAAAATCACTGGCGAATGGAGCGTAATGGTATGGAAAATACCAATCCCAGCTAACGCATCCCTGAACATTAGTTGTTTAATACTGTTAACATGGTCCTCCTCGGTCATCAATTTCTGTGTGGAGGAAGATGTTGCTTAGGAAAACAAAAACATGGACTTGTACAAAATTACCTGATAATAGTACTTCAACACCCAGCAAAGCCCTTCAACATAGGCCCACGCAACTTTTCTTCTAAAAGCAACATCATCCGCCCCAACATCAAACTTCGCTCTGAAAAGAAGTGAGCTAAAATGAGCGATTTCTTTGAATTCGAAGCGGTTTTTATCAGTTCTCTAGTCAAAGTATCTTCCCCATTAACATCGCCATTCTAAAGAATTCTCTCAAAAGATGGAGGCGGAGAAGTTCGCAACGAAGCTCTAAAGAAATTAATTGTAAACTTTTCCATTATATACCTGTAATAGCGATCCTTCCATCCTGATTCAAACAAACGTATGTCATCTGGTGGATCTTCGTCAGAATCGACGTCTATAGGAGCCTTGAAAACAAGACCATTCATAGTTATCTCATGCAAATCGCGAAAAGTGCAGCTACCTCCGCCTTCCTTTTTCTGCTACTGCTATCGTTTGCATTTGCGTTATCCGCTGATCCTTCTTCTTTCAGCATAAGTTTCAACCGCTTAGCTGCTTCTTCATTTTCAGCGTACTGCATTGCCTGAGCAAAACATGAATAACTTTCACCTGATCGCACTAAGGACGAAGAGTTTCACAAGCGCACCTCGATTCTAGCGGTGGCAGCTAAAGATCGTGTTGTTTCACCACTCAATGGAGTAGCTCTTGCTAACGGCGCGATAAGAGATCCAGATTGTGGAACATATGAGGGCGCCTGAGGACGGCGCCCACCGCCCATTCGAGCTTTCTTTGCTTTCCGTATCGCTTTGAAGCGCTCCTCATCTTGCTGAAAGTGGAACAATAGAAACTGGTAAAACTTTGATCTTAGTCTATAAGCATATCAACAGTACTCAGTAAAAACAAAGCAGAATACTATGTGACTCGTGACAACTCTTACCTGGCGTCGCTTGAAGATCTCATCCTCCACTTCTCCAAGTCCAAGCATGATCCGCTCTACACGATCCATGTAAACGTCGCCATCTTTGGTGAGGTAACTAGAGAAATCATTTTGAGATAGATATTCGTTACACAGCAAGTCATTAACGAAGCTGTAGTCATTTATTTAGAGCTCGTAAGCGCTCCGATTTGGAACAATGATGCTTTTCCCCTGGTTAGCAAATGTTTATCCAAACGAACCCTTTCATGCTATACACCATATCCTTATATAATTTGATAAGGCGATCGATAGCTCCCTCACGAATCTCTAACGAGGGCAGATGGGGAAGAAAATCATTTCCCACGAAAAAACAAAGGAAGACCTGAAAACAGTGAATTACTTCTCAGTAACCTAACAAATCAGGCAGACCTACCCAGTCGTCAATAACCCTTTCAAAATCATATTTGAATGGCAGATTTTCCATTGTAAGGTCCCTCTCTAGATACTCCCGTAAAACGGGGATCCTCAAAAAGATGAAATTCTTCTCCTTCGAGATTGGATCAGCATGCTCAGGACCTTTCTCTTCATTTTCCAGTCTGAGATGGCAAAGGTTGTACTGTAGATCTTTGCAAAAAAAAGGATGAATACCCTCGACATTGCTTGAGTTCATGTCCGTATTGTCCACAAAGCTCGCATGGGCGCTGCTGGTTGGGGATGAATTCCTCCCTGAAAAAAATTTGGTCAAATCTCAGAATTAAGAGACACTGCTTATGGACATCCAGTCGCAGAATACCTCTGACCGTATAATGTTGAAATTGGCTTCATGGGTGGCTAACCCAAGCATGATAAGATCTGCATCAGCACCACAAAGGCAATGCACTGTATCAGGATTATGAGCAGGATTTGAACGTTGCCTACGAATGAAGTCCATGATCTTGTGCTCTCCTTCTCCTGGTGCGTTAGCATCCGACAGAATCACCTGATGATAAGAATTAGGGTACGACGGAACTTCTGAAAACCCTGTCCACAAACCTCAATCTTGGCCCATGCTGGGTCAGTAGTGATTCGCTCATGAATGTAGTAACGAAGTGCATCGGCTAGCCTGTAAGAGTAAAATCACATGCTGCCAGATAATATACATAACTTCTATTATTGACTCTCAATGTATTCTAGAAGAGGTACACACCGCGATACTTGGATCAAACTCTTGCGATAATCAGGGTTCAAGTGAGCAAATGATTAAAGACCATTCTCAAAGCGTACCTTGCCATAAAAGGAGTGCCTGGTGTGATACAGTTACTATCAAAATGACTTTCCTCTTCTTTTTTAGGAGGCAGTGGAATGCCTTCCTCTTCAAGACGCCGTCTTTGCTAAAATACGGGGCATGTAGCTTAACAAAAGAAACAACCGCTACGACAGTTGCTGAAGGACTGTTATTTGATTCAAAATTCTCACCTCTTCAATCGAAGCGGCCTTCTCCCAAGCTTCTTTTGATGCACGAAAACGTCGGCTGCGTTGTTGATTCATCTAAAGTTGATTATATTTCGACAACAATATAATGCCGTATTCTCTAGAGCAAATGAGAACTATGTTTCACCTTTGCACGAGGAGCTACACCGTCGATTGCCATGTATAGCACTTTTCGTGGTCGTACAATGGAGAAGATTCTATCGATGTACTCGAAGATAAGAGCCTAAAATGCTTGAACTTACACAAAACGTTATGGTAACATGGCACCTTTGGAAAAAAATTCATGAGCAAAGCATGCTACAAGATTTGCGATACCGAACACACAAATTCTTAGAAGAAATGAATTTGGTTACTTGCCATCAATTAGCAAAACAAGCATAACGCGCAATGAAAACCTCCGCGTTCGAACGCGAAATCTTTGGATTCTTGCAAAGACTGTAAATAGCAAATCACTTACAAACATCTCATCCTCGTTAGCAGGTGCTGGCCTGTCTTCCGGGTGGGTGCAAGGATGAATGATACCATTCATATCAAGGTACAAATTGTCAAATTCCTGAAATACATCTTATGGCACTTCCAAAAGAAGTGGTGAAGTTAGATGATATCGAAGATCCGCAAGCTCAAAATCGAAAATGACGCTGTGGTGAAGTGTGAAAATACATCCTTAGCAGGAGGAGTTGACAAGCAATAGAGTTCTTTTCAGAGCATTCCATATATGAGGACAGATCTAACCTGAAAGTTTGGATTTGGTTTGGTGGAGTCAATTGGGATTCGTGTGCCGTCAGCATTTCTCTGGCGCTCTTCGTTGGCATTGACAATAATGGACGGATATTTCCTTGTAAGCCAACGGAAGAATGCTGGTACACCCATGTTTTTTTACCTAAAAACTATCTTGTTCAACAAAAACCACATAATGGTATGCATGGCGAAAACCACTCGAAAGCAAGCACGATCACGAACGATTTATACTAAAGAGAAAAATACCCTTCCCTCCCAAAGAAAATGCTGGACTGTTTTGAGAATAAGTTACGAACGGAGGTAATATCCCAACAAAGGTTACCGTAACCATCTGACCCAAAAGACCTTTAATTTGTGACGTCGCTGGCGCACGTTTGTCGTCTTGCACGACCCGTAAACAAAGCCTATACCTTCAGGTCTCGTCCCACGTCCTCAGATTAGATCCTATAGTGCTGCCTAGGTAAGTGAAATCGTCGACTAGAATTGAACACTGCGTGATGGACTGAAGAAGTGTAGTCACCTGTTTTTTACGCATAAATGCTGCGGCAGCTCAGGGGCACTATATTACCTATCAAAGTGACCAGCCTATACGCGTTTAGAAATTGTATTCTGCAGAAAAGCTCAAAATTGCAGAAGTATTGCGTGCTAATTGTTCAGAATCGCAGCATGCGTTGACTCGCTCCTCGGACACTAGAACGCAGCGCGTAAATGAAAATTCCACATTTCGCTGAAAGTAAGGGCACGAGGGTATATTTACGGCGCGATGGTAAGAGGATGGTGAGCGAATGTGAGCATTCTTTCCTTGAGGTTACAATTATTTACTGCAAAGGTCGAAATCTCCCAATCGATGAAATCGTAGCTTATTACCCCAAAGCATGAAATCATGCGAAGAGGCCGGTCGGTCATCGTTCAGCAAGAAAGTAAGTCCAGTGCTTTCGTATTTTCGATGGCTACCAGATACATAAATGGTAAGTTGAACATTTTTTGGAAGTATCGACTGCAAAACTAAAGAAAATGAAGCGTTTTTGGTGGTATGCGACGGATCTCGGCTGTGAAATTTCGCATTATAGCCATACTGAAGACATAGAAGCAAGAAATGCAGTGATGCCGAAAGCATGAATTTCGATTTTCTTACCCAAAATTGGTTTTTTGAGGCTTTTTCCCCAAAAAAAGGCTGGAGTTGTGTTACATGTATCTAGATGATAGGCTGCGTTTGAATTTGAGTCTTTGAGATTATATTGAGGTGTGGAAAAAAATGTGATTTTGATCAGGTCGTTCTGGCCAGGCATCCGAAGAAACTTTCTATTTCTTAAGCTTGCAACAAATCGTGGATTTTTGAAATTCGAGAACGCATAAAGTCATAGAATAACTCGAGAGGCATGCTTGCTTTATGGCCTACATTTGCTAGTTTTGCTAATTAGAGCTTCGCAAAATAGTTTATACTAAGGTGAAAGTCGTACTGCCTAGGAAGTATCAATAAAGGTGCAAAAGCTTATAATTCGGTTCTGCTCGGTACCACGTTTATAAACTAAGACTCAAATCATATGTATGTACAGCGAATACAACATAAGTTAATATCGAAGGAGAATGTGAGCAAGTGCAGCCAAACATTTTACACATTATGTGTCAAAGATCTAAGAAGAGAATATACAGATGCGGATCAGCCAGCCCCTAGACTTTTAGCTGTGCTCAGGTTGCTCCAGAAGGTTTTCCAACAAATCTGAATGGACTCAAGTCTTGCAGAAAAGTAATTAAAGTAACAACCTAGAATCCTGATGCAGCACTGCTTCGCCTTTCCAGTGACCAGTTTACAGAATAGTGTAAGAGCGTCAAGTTGCAGGGATTTGCAACTTGACGCTCTTCCAGTATTCTGTAAATTTGCGAAGCATCATTCTTACTTATTCGCCGTCATTCTCAGACACTCGCACCGGCCGGCGACCGTCCGACGACGGCCTTCCGGCTGGCGACCGTTCCATAAATCTGGGCGGAGCTAAATGCCGGCCGGTGACCGTCCCAAAAGATCATGCCGGCCGGCGACCGTCCCAAAAGATCATGCCGGCCGGCGACCGTCCCAAAATTCTATCTCCCAGTGTCTTAGCGTAAAGGATACTTGCGTGAGATACGACGCATGGTTAGGCTACCCTCAATGCCTTGCATGTTCTTCAATTTCCGAAGCAGGAACAAGGCAACGTGTTGTCTCATAGACAACCCTCGATAGTATCTCGGTGTTGTCGAATTTTAAAATCGGACGTGGTCTCCGAAGCTGCTACATCAGCGGCCTTGATTTTTGTTCTTTGCAGTGTATTTTCCTATATGCCAGTGAATAAAAGACAGTTCTACCGTTCCTCAGTATACACCGGCTGGCGGCCGTACCCTTCCGACCGGTGGCCGTCCGAATACCGGCCGGTGGTCGTAGACTACGCGGCTGAGTGAAATTGACACCACCCCCACCGGCCGGTAGTCGGACGGTCACCGGCCGGTGCGAGTGCCTGAGTTGAGCTTTGCAGCCAGCAAATAACCATTGGATAGAGCAAGGAAAAATTTTCCAGAAGTCATTTGAAAAATTTTATGTGATTGATTTTGACATTTGGTAGAGAAATGAATTGTTTTGCAAGTAAACTTGCAAATTCCAATGCTTTTGCAGTGGCTTACAGACTGTCTCTCCAGCAAACTCTTGATTTCTTGCATCTCGTTAAGCTGCGTATATCGGTTGAAGAAGAGTGAATACGCGTGATCAAACTCACTGAGATTTCTCAGTACAGCACCGGTAACTTTAAAAGCTGTTCGGAACACTTATTTAACTCAGACAATCACAGGCTCTCAGCGGGCCCCACCAAAAGCGTCGTTGCCTTATCGCAGCCACTGTTGCTTCCCGCTGAAAGCTTTGTCGGAGCTTTTTCGGAGCTTGTCGGAGCGGGCTCGCTGCCCGCTGAGCCCGCTCCGACAAGCTCCGACAAAACTCCGACAAAGCTCTCAGCGGGAAGCGACAGTGAGGCGATGAGGCCACCGCGCTTTTGGTGGGTCTAGGCGGTGGCTTTGTGGCTGCCGGCTGAGAGCATTTAATTGTCTGAGAAGGTGCGCAACTTCCTTTTCACCGCAATGAATCTTCCAAATACAGAAGATCCGAACAAACTTAAGGGAACGGACCAAAAGAATGAAACAAAAAGAACAAAAGGATAAACTTCCGGTGTGATGTGATATACAGGGTTCAAAAAATGTCCTCACTATTTGATCTGCAATAACTTTCTCGCTTTAATGTCTTTCACCAAGGTACCATTCTGTAGTGCTGGTTTCAGCTCGGATTACAGTGTGAAAGTCAAACATCGATTGCTCTTCTTTAGAGTAGGAATACGGTAGAAACCTTGAAGAGGAGCTACCTAGAGTAACACTCTGCCTTTAAAGAAAACTAAAGCTAAATCACTTTTATTAGAATAGTCAAGTTGCAGGCAACAAATATGAGTTTTACACCCGTGATAGTTCTGCGAAGTTATGCCAAGTATACTGCTATTAATACAGGGTGTCCCAAAAGTAAGTACACACTTTTCAATCGCTAATATCTCTCTTCTCAATGGGTCTTTTTTGACCATTCAAGCACCATTCTGTAGAGGAGGCTTCAACTTAGGTTTAAAGTATTGATCGAGTACCGAGCAGAGCCTCTTCTTTACTGTGGGATTACGGTAATAACTTCCAGCATGTGGAACCGTCGTGAAATATGCCATCTGACAAAATTTTTTCAAAAAATGTGAAAAATCGTGTACTAGGGTTTTCATGCGCGCTGATTCCGCTACACGACTTCTTACGAGTGTTTTCAGCTGTTTTGACTGTGTGATCACATTTCTGACAAATACTGGAAATTCGGTTATTATGGTTTACCGGTGATAACTTTGGAAAGAAGCATTACAGTAAAGTGGAAATCTCATATTCGAATTCAGCGGAGTCCATTGGCCTAAGAGTTTTTGGCTTGTTTAGTTTTGTTTCGAGGCAGAATATGGCTTCCAATGCTCTGAAATCTTGCAGTAATCTTGAAGTTCTTGCAGTAATCCTACAGTAATGAATAGCAATCGGTCATTCGCTCGATACTGTAAATCTAAATTGAAGCCTCCTCTACAGAACGGTACTTGAACGTCGGAAAAAGACACAGTGGAAAGAGGGATATTAAATTGAAAAGTGTGTACTTACTTTTGGGACACCCTGTAATTTCCGATGATCTTCGAACCAAAGAACTCGAAAAAATTGTGTAATGAAATCATATTTTAAATAAAGATAGAACTAGCTCAGAATGCAAAAACTCGATTTTGAGATTTTGTGCTAATCCGGGCATATTCAAAATGCTGAATCCGAAAATGCACATTAGAGGGCGCGAAAACGACGAAAAGGGGCTTTAAAGGCAGTGTCCGGGCAAAAACTCGATTTTGAGATTTTGTGCTTACCCGGGCCTTTTCGCTATGCTGAATCCGAAAATCCACTTTGGAGAGCGCGAAAACGACGAAAAAGGGCCCTAACACAGGGGGGAAATCAGCAGGTGGGCGGGGCTTTCCCCAGTGCGATTTCACGCTCCTGGCTCCCGGAGCGATTTTCTCGATTCCGCTGCCGTCCTAACATCGCTACCGGTCAAGTGCGAATGATTGACTTAAAACCGGAAGCGAGAAGTTCGCTCCGGAAGCCGGGAACGTGAATTCGCAGTGGGGAGGACCCCGCCCACCTGCTCATTTCCCTCCTGTGTTAGAGCCGTTTTTCGCCTTTTTCGCGCTCTACGATGTGCATTTTCGGATTCAGCGTAGCGAATAGGCCCAAGTAAGCACAAAATCTCAAAATCGAGTTTTTGCCCGGACACTGCCTTTAACGCAGGAGGAAAATCACAAATGGGCGGAGTCTTCACCACTGCGGATTCGCGCTCCAAGCTTCCGGAGCGATCTTCTCGGTCCCGATTTTAAGTCATGCATTTGCACCTGGCCTGTGGAGATCTCAATCGGCAGCGGAATTGAGAAAATCGCTTCAGAAGATGGGACCGCAAAATTCACAGTGGGGAAGACCCCGCCCACTTCTAATTTCCCTCCTGCGTTAGAGCCCTTTTTTGCCGTTTTCGCGCTTTCCAACGTGGATTTTCGAAGTTAACATGGCGAATAGGCCCAGGTAAGCACAAAATCTCAAAATCGAGTTTTTCCGGACACTGCCTTTAACACATTGACGACAATGTGACCCACATGGTGGGTCATGCAATGACTGAGGTTTCGGAAGTTCTGTTATGCTTTATTCTTAGGAATTACTTCCGCGTTTCTTAGCTGCTTCTCAAAATCACTGTAGGGATACTGCAGATGACGGCCTGCTTGGTTCCAGCTAAAAATACTCAACTTACTGTAGAAGGCACTGTCCCACAAGGCAGACAGCTAAAAATGCACGCTGTCGTCAACGTGTTAAAATTCGGTAAAAAGCCATGTTCTGCGACTCATACATACATGGTGTCCCGAAAAAATATGCTCACTGTTTGATCATTGATATCTCTCTCAAACTACTTAATTTCTCTCGTTGACCTCTTGGTATTTCTGTAGAGCTGCACAGTTTGGATTGATAGTATAAGGCGAGATCTCAGCGTTACTGTAACTCACCGAATACTCGCCTTTAGTGTAGAGTAAGAACAGCATATTGGCTTCTTGTTGATTAGCTGAGAACTAAAAAACAACAAAACCTTTTAATAGATTTTGGAGGTGCTGACTTCTCACGAAGATGTCAGATATCTCTGTACAGTGAATGAAGCAGTTCTGATGGTGTGGTCAGTTTTTGACGGAATTTGGAAGTACTCTTTTCGGTATATCTGACATAAGTTTGCATCTCTGATAACCTGCAATAATTATGCATGGTAGCGACGCTCTTTTAGAGGATTTTCAAGCGAAACTTCATTCCCAAATCTGCGAAACTTTTTAATGTGCCTGCCGTGACAATACGATATCGGAGAACAAATCGTGAATTGATTCATACCGTAAACCTAAGCTGAAGCCAAGTCTACCAGATGTATTAAGAGGTCGGCGGAAGCTAATAGGGCAAGAGAGATATCAATGGCCAAACAAAGGGAAAATTCCTCGGGACAACCTTTTTATAAGATTGTTCCGAAAGTAATGTCGCTTCTTCAAATGAACGCCACATTTCGTGGCACAAAGATTTCCAAGATTCTACTTCCGTGCAGCGTTTCATCTTCTTCTCTAATGATTATAAACGCACTGCAGCAAAGTCAACGGACTCTCGGAAAATCAATTAAATCTGCGACCCGTGCTTTTTGAGATGGTCAGATTTCACAATTTTCCGAAATTCTTTTATCAACCCTCCCAAGGAGTTCAAGTGACGGATGGATAGAGCAAACCCTACAAGAGACAGCAGGACTTTTTTCTCCCTTCTATAGCTCACCATAATTTTTTGATGAAATTTCTTTCAAAATTACCGGATCTTGGCAGGCCTACGTCAGACACAAACGCAACACACAGCAATATACCCTATAGAAACTCTCCTTTAACAAACTGACTTCCTCATAAGCCAGAGCTCCAGACATTTTCGCCAATTTTCGCTCCACTTCATTTCACTTCTACATGGCATATAGATTTAACAACATAGATAAGACTGAGTCTACCAGTATTGCCGATTTGACATAATTTATTTAGAAGAAATCTCTCAAGAACTATATGCAAAAGAGGTGACTTCATGACGAGATCGCAGCTTCTGAGGACGATTGAGACATTCCGTTGCGCTCGTAATTTACCAGTCTTGTCCCAACAAGGTACCTAAAATGATTACTACAAATGACCAAAATTAGAAGCCGAGCAACAAAAACTGATGCAAATATCTTGTAGTGGCTAGCAGATTCGAGCTCAGTGAAGATTTGAAGTAAAGATCTCGCGCGGTACCACCATCGTAAGTTAAGCTGCTGTTACTAAAGGTCTCAGAATCACTAAGCATAACCTACTTCTCATTCCTAATGTTCTCCGCAAGCCCTTGAATTTTGTTCAGCTGCCATCGCAAGAAGCTAACCACCAATAGGATGATCAAGCTGCTCGGAAAACAGTATCGCAGTACAATAACACTTTCTTCAAGAGGTGCACCTAAAAAAGAATTCTGGAAGCAAGGTAAAAATATGAACCATTTTTTGCTTTTCTTTGTCGTTCCTGCACAGATCTCATGTAAAAATCAGTCTCTTCACCTGTTTGAAATTTTCACTCATTTTGCCTTAAGCAGCTATCTGTAGGTGATTCCTACAACGGGCTACTTTCGCTACTTTTCGGACTTTTTCGATCAACATCTATAATCAGCTCTCTCTTTTTGCAATGTTATCTGCGATCTTTCAGAAAAGAAGAAGTTGGCAAATTCACAAGCAACTCACTCCGCATCTACCTTATGCTGAGCTATACCACTAATGTAAGGCAACTTGCTCGTGTGAACTAAAGACAAATTGATGATGGTCAATGTGAATCGAACAGTCTTGAAGGCAATATCTCGGCGGAATTTCGTTTTCCAGATTTTCACCTCTTCGGAGCCTTTTCGCCAATCGGAATTCATATCTGGGCTATTTCAGCGCAAATGAAAATGAAAATGGCGAAAATGAGCTATTTCCGAGTTTCCTAGGTCCGCAATCACTGGAGAAGTGGGCGATGCCCGGAACGAGGGAGGCAGGGCGCTTTTTTCCTGTGTATCTTCACTGAATGCGGACCTGGAAATCTTCGGAAGCACATTTTGGCCATTTTCAAGCTCTGAGAAGCCCAGAGATGGATTCTTCACGTAAGGTTCCTAGAAGGTAAAGAACTGGAAAACGAATTTCTGCCGAGACACTGCCTTTAAGTCTACATTAAGATTTCCATAAAAGTGCAGTGAGATCAAATGGCTGAGCAAGGAGGTTTTTTATGATAAGGTGATGGATTATTTGCATTTTACCGTAGAAGCTTTGAATGGAAATGGAAAGATTGAGAACCTCGCAATGAACACCTACTTATTTTGACCGATATTCTCATTTCACTACGTGTATAGTGGAAGAAATGACTTCCAATGAATCAGGTCATGTCAATTTTTTCAAAGCATGCAGAAAGAACAAAGTCGGAAAGAACAGATTAACGTGATCGAATAAGAAAAAATACATGATTCAAAAAATTACCTGTTACAAATATGTACAACCGCGCCACGAGATATGGGAAGGCTAGCAGTGAACTAAGAAAGAGTATTACTGGGATGATAAGCTGCGACAGTATGAAGCGAGCTCGAAGATTGCGAATCCCATCCTGATAAATCTGAAACAAAGATATTTCAGATGTTAGGAGGCATCAACCAAGCTCTGTTTCTACACGAAAATACTCTTAACTCGATTTCTACGATCTTTAACAAAATGTTGCTTTGATCCAAGGGGCCCCTTTCAATAAAGATTATATTCGCGAAAATCTTCATGGACCAAGTATGATTAAGAAGAATTAGTATGACGTATCGTTTAAAGAAGTCAAACGTCAAAAACAAGTCTCACTCCACTCCTTCCCCCACAATTTACTGAGATCCCACAAAAAGAGTATGGCTAGAATGAAACAGGACAAAGATAACACACCTGATCGAATACTTGCCGCATCCACCATTCGGGGCCCATCATTACAGCTCCGCAAGCAATTTTCATATGCAATACACCCATAGCCCAGTCTTGCCACAAAAAGACCAGCGCTGTCTAAACAATTGCGTAGTAGCGAGATTAAGATGGAAAGTTGCATTACTGATGGAAAGTTGCATTACTGCACCTGTTGGTAAGAAAGCCTCAAGGGTGTGATGACCACAAGTTGAAAGTATGTACCCATAAGCATCGGAATCACAAAAACGACAGGTATGCAAATGACTAGCAACCGAAGTGTCTGAAAACCTCATCTTCAACCAAAGTGGATGTACACTTCCAAATATCCATCAAAAAGCCAAGTGTGATGACGTAGCATTGTTGCTTGAAAAAGACTTTTGTATGAGCAGCAGATGAAAGCTGACCAGATAAATAGAGTTGACAAAGGCTTCTCTCAAATGATTTAGACCGAGGTGGAACCAATGCAACGTGAGTAAACCCATTTTCACAGACATCCAGCATACATATAAGCCCGTTCCAACCTAGAAGTAGATTAATCAAAGCTCGGATGTTAGGCTGATAAGTAGAATTATTTAATGACTTACAGTGTAAAGCTCGTGTACATTAGAGTATCCAGTCAGATTGTGAATGATCGCTCTTCCAACAACCACTGAACGAACAAATATGAGAGACTACCAATTTCATAAAAGGGTGAAGAAATAGTACCTGGTACAAGGAAAAGTAAGCAGCTTGCAAAACAGCATGTGGCTGCCATAGTCGCAAGGAGTAATAGAACTCGGAGAGGGAAGAATCGAGGGCGAATGTAGGGCTGGAAAGCCTGTGGTTCACGAAGAAGCAGCAACGCCTAAGTTTAAATGGTTCAATTCCTCAAATTCACTACTCTGCTATGTACCTGGTGTTCAGCAGCCAGTCCACCCGCACCTTGTGCTCCTGCACCATCTTGCTGGTGTTCTGGATTAGGTAGATCAGGCAGAAGATACCTGCAAATCACCTTCGTAACTGTACATTACACGAATACCAAGATTAGCAATTGTTGGCAAGAGTGGAAAGATAATGACACTTACCTATCCAGACTGAGAGCACCTCCGACATGCACGCACCACCACATCACGATAGTTTTGAGCAAGAATCGTGCTTGCGTTTGTTCCAGTAAAGCAGGTAGAACCACCTAGAAACATTCTGATACAGATCAGCGATGAGTTTCCAAAACATTACCTGCAAAATCAGAAGCTCCAGCGAAAGTTCACTAAGTGGAGTGTCAGCCGAAAGGCTCATGTTGTATGGTAAGAGGGACGAGTAAAGTTTCTGCACAATGACCAGAGGAAGATAGACGATGAGAAAGATTGTCGTAAAGCACAGAGACTAAAATTGAAATGTTGTGCTCAGTTACCAGATATGACGCTTGTGACCGCCGCGATTAGGTTCAGCTACTGTTTGTTCTATATCAGACTATATGGGGCAAGCCCTTACTGCACATTTTTGCACTCCTAATCTACATGTTATGCGTTTGTTCAAACTTTGTAATGTGACATACAGTGATGAAAAATTAGTACATGAAAAATGGAAGGATAAAAAAATAACGAAATGAAAACTGTGGAGCTTGTTCAATCGACAATGCTCACTACTGGAAGAAATGCGTCAACTCACTGTAGAAGCCACGAGCCGCCGGAGATGACGAGTGACAGGCAATTCTATCATCTATAAGATAACTTTAGAAACAAGTGAACATCTAGATAATATTTAAACCAGCACCTCTTGAATGGGATTGAACTCAGGATCATTCAGGTTTCGCATAAACCACAGAACTCCAGGACGCAAGACCTCGCGCAAAAGTAGAACAAAAGAGGCAAAATAAAATACATAAACCTGAAAAAAAGGAACATAATTTTATTAGTTCATTGATAAAAACTGGATCCGACCATGCCAATCATCCAGTGTATAAATACTGAAGAAGTAGGTGAGGCTGCGAACGAAGATGCACGAGATGAAAGTGAGGCAGAGAATAGTTTCTATACATAAAAACATTTACTACTGAACAAGAGAGCTTCTAGTTCTCACCAGCGAGCACAAATCCATCCAACAGCCGCAAATAATTGGAAAGAAGCCTATTTCGATGAGAACCAACAAAAACACTTTTAGAACAAGAAAACAGATACCCAATATGCGATAAACGCTGAAAAAATAAGCCCATTCAATGTCACAAAGTCAAGAGATGACTGACCTTGCTAGTCGTAGAACACCAACGACGTAGTGCAGAAAATAAATAATTGCAGTGACAGCAACATATCCCGTCAATATTGCAGCTATTGAAGGGAAATAGTGGATGGACTGCATGACCCCAAACTTGCTCAGGATATAGAACCCAAGTTTATAAGGTGCATATGCTGCAAGGAATCAAACACTAGCTTCAAAATTTGCGCTAAAAAAAGAGGCTCACCAAACATTATAGTGAAAAGCGTGTCCAGAGAGATTACCCAAACTACGCGCTCCAGGAAGACAAGGGAGCCGTCCAAACCCAATAACCTCTGCCAAGTCAACTCATCTCCCAATCTAAACACAAAGTCAATTCACAATTTTGCGATGACCAGGATTATGTAGTGGGATGAGAATTTTCACGGTTTGGTCTAATCTAGCACATTGAGAGGTATGTATGATGGAAATTACCTATCCAGATCTCTCCAGTTGTCTTCAGCAGGTGGAATATCTGGGCCAGGTTGTTCTGCGGCTCTTGGGAGTGGGTTGTCTGGAAACACTACCATAAAAACAGTGCGTATGTCTCAGCAGAAAATAAACTATTTTCACATACCCCGCACAAACTCTTGATGATCTCCCACATCATCGAGTACATGCTGAAACAATAATTTTTGTATCACTAAGGTACAGCAAACGTTTGACAATACCTCTGCCTCTGCCTGAGCCTCTCCTTCTTCAGGTAGCTCCTCTTCTTCATCTTCCTCATCTTCGTTGTCGCCCACATCTCCATCGTCCTGAAACATGATGCCGTAAAGCGGGCTATAGGCATGACCGCAACGGCTGACCTGTTCGTTGTTGTTGTTAGCCAACGCTATCTCCTCTTCATTGGGAGGACGTTCGCCATCGATAACATTTCGATTCGGATCTTCTCCTCGTTCTGGAAAACATCGGCATAAGAAGAGTCTAGACTAGAAGATTTCCTGGCTTACCGATATTGAGGAAGTCGTGCGGGCCTCCGTGGATGATCTGTTCTCGTAACCAGACTAGCGAAATAAAAGTACAGATAAAGATGATGAGAAGGAAACAACCCTAAATACTCTTCATATAATTTGGAAAGAGTGAATAACAATTCACCCAAAAACTCGCCTTGAAAATATCAGGAAATACATGCTCTGTGCGAAATATACTGATAGGCAGAACTAATATTTCTTGAATGGAAAGATAGAATACTGCGTGATAAATTCTTGCAGCCGTTAGCGGCACGACTCCCAGCCAGGAAACGAGTACCATAGTATACACCAGCCATGTTCGCAACATTCTAGCAACATTTACAGCGACCCCTGCAACATATAGGCTATAAAGGAGCACAGCAAGCTGAAGCGGATCATAGTCTTTGGTTAAGATATTCATTGTAGCAAACTACATGCGATTACCTTTGAGAATTTCCGCTAACGGAAGTGCTTTCGGCATGTCTTGTCGATAGATGGGTTGAAAGGAATATTTGTAATTGCATAGCTCACAAACTTCCTTTTTACTGCAAAGTTTCACAATTACTTGCATGAAAACTTTGGTAAACAGTGTGATCAATACCTATATTTCAACCACTCCGTGAGGCACTCCTGATGAACATATTTTATACTTCCGGTACAAAGACATGGGTAGTATAGATGACCATCATCACCACGACATACCCGGCACATATCTGAAGGAGGCAGTATGCGTAAATTAAGTATCCTTTGCTTTTGATAACATTATGACAGTGTTGAATCAAGTTATTTTTAGCAGATTTCTGGGCCGTATACTCTCTCATAAGTGTATTTTAGTGCTAACGTAGCGAAAAGTTCAGAAGAAAAAAGGTGAGAAGTTGAGATGGTGTTCCGTTAAGAGCAGCATACTATTCGATGCAGTATGAAACGCTGATCCCAAATCTGCCTTTCTTATGTGTTGAGCGCTTCCATATGAGCACCTTCTTTGCAAGAGAAACAGACTGCAGGTACAAATCTTAATATGCAGTTGCAAATTAAACAATTTTCAACTTGGACCCTATAACAAGATTTAACTTATCGCTTACCTCGGAACCAAATATGCTGTATATGTATGCGACTGCACTTGTATAGATATTTTTTGGAACAAGTTGTTTTCGCCCACTAGGCGTTCAGCAGATTGAGAGACGATGAGAGCGTTTTACGCAGCATTAGAGGTATGCAGCTCTTCCGAAAATCACATTTCGACTTTTGACCATTCTCGTGTAGGGGTAAAGTCTCAACAACCATGAGTACGCTCGCCAAATTATATCATTTTCTACATAATTTTCGACAACATTTTCTGCGGGGCTGCAATTTTTCGGGTGTATTGGGAAATAATGCAGCGTTTCCTCCCTGAATTTCGCTTCATTTGTTTCCAAGAAATGATTGATCCATATATGCCTGCATTCGTTGTTCATTTTTTTTGGAGTAAAAAAGCTCTTACGATGATCATCTGGATCGTCCACAGGCGGAGGAGCAGAAGACGTAGTGGGCCCCATGCTCGATGACGATTCGTTGGCTTGCTCGGCTTGAGAATCAGCAGCTTCAGAGCTTCCCGCCCGAGCTGGATTTTCCATGATGCATCAGTTCAGGAGACAGGAACCAACTCCAAATAGCCTAAAAACTTCATTTTCCATGAAAAGCCTGGATCTTCAAACACCACTCATGGAGCGCAGAACGGTTGAGTAAGAAATAAAGATGAACGGTGTTTTGATGAGGAAATGTCACGTAGGAGCAAGCTTTGGCATTGCGTGGTTTCCTCCAAATATCATTGATAATCACGAATACTAGTGCATCGCAACAACCGAGCTGCTTTTTTTCCGATAAGAAGAAACTTCGCGTCGCCACACAAGTCCCCAGATAAACGAGAGCATGAAGACACTTGGTTGCAGGTGTTTCAAGCATACAACATTCATCGAAGCACGGAGGCAAAGGTATCCGTGACGACAGAACTTTGATCACATGAGAAGCTGCAATCGCGTTGCTTGCTGTTCATGCGCTCGCTGTAGCGTCGTCATTCGAAAATACTTAGCCCTTCATTCCAATTCCAAGGACATCTTTTGATGGCATAATACAAAGTGATTGTGCACTCAAGACACACCGATAAGGGTGTACTATCGGAACTGGATTGAATGCTTGGAGCAGGTGATCGATTCAGTTGTCGTTGAAGTCATTCACTGCATATTAGCTGGATTTTTATAGACAGTTTCGGATTTGTTAGTCGGCCAAGGACTAATGGAACGGCGATAGTATCCTATTCATTGCTTAGTGGATTTCCCTGATTGGAGCGCAGGTATTCATGGATTTATACATCAAAAGATAGCCTCACATCCATTATGCAGGCCCCTCCCCGAGATGTTGAAGAGATCCGTGAAGACGCTATATCTAATAGAATGTCGATATGGTTCAACCATGGCGCACACATATAGTCGGAGAGTCCGAGAGGGCACCCTACAGAACGACGAACATCAAGTAGGTGGTGATAGCTGAATCATTCTGCATTATGTTAGCTTCTCTTGCTCTGTTTTGTTCCTTCTTTTGCTTAGTAGTCTTCTTACAGCTGTACATAGTCAAACAATTTGATGATCTTCTTGATTCTCTCTCAACATACCAACTTCCTCCGAGGCGTAGAGTCAGTTCTTTTGGTCTTCTCAATATATGGTCTCAGTTCAAGGTACGTTGTCCACTACCGTATCTTACCTTTTTGAGCTGGCCGCTTTCAGAAGCCAAATCATGCCATTCATGCTCCTCGTGGTATTTATCTTTGGGGAACGGTTGGGTGTGGCAAAACGACATTGATGGACATGTTTTTTGAATGCTGTCCATTCGAAGAAAAGCAAAGAGTGCATTTCCACTCGTTCATGCAGGAAATGCACAAGAGTACGATTGAAGTTATCTTTTTGCAAATCTGAAACCGTATAGTGGTAGCAAATGTGCTCAGTTAACTGGTTCAGTGAGATTGAATTTGGTTGAACCAGTTCATAGGTTTTGGCACCGATGTCGATAAGAAGAACCATATTTTTTGACACTTATAAACACTCTTTTTGAACTCTATAAACATTCTTTTTTGTGTCTCGGATTTTTTTGGCTTCAAAAAAGTTTTCTGTGTCCTTGATATACATCCCGAAAGCTCGAAGTTGATGGAGAAACTTGAAGAAGTTTTACGTAGACTTTGCCTGGTAGCCTTTCATCCTCAGAAATTACTTGAGCTCTTCAAGCGTACCATCTTTGTTCAGTTTGAAGTTTTGAAGTTTTGCGCGATAGTTAAATCAGAATACCACAGCGTATCTCCTGAATCTAATCTCGCTTTGATTGTTTTAAACTTTGTTCGTTTTGAGGAATGCATGCGTTGAAGCTTGCAAGTACGAGTGAACGAGGTTCATTCGATCCAGTACCGCTCATTGTTGATGAAGTCATGGGAAGATGTAAGCTTCTGTGCTTCGATGAATTTCAGGTACACAGGAGAAGTTCTTTCTCATTGAGACTGGTGAGACAAATAGCTAGGCCTTTGCTTAGGTGACCGATATCGCCGATGCTATGATTTTGAAAAGGTTTTTCTCTCTGCTGTTCGACGAAGGTTTGGTCATGGTGGCCACTTCCAATCGTCCACCAGCTGACCTATATAGAAACGGATTGCAAAGACATCAGTTTTTGCCTTTCATTGATATTTTGCAGGTATTTTAGCATGACATTTTGAACTCTTCATCGCATTTGCTGATTCATACTTATTTTGAAGGAAAGATGTAAGACAGTCTCGCTAGATTCCGGCATCGATTATCGTCGAATTGGAGCTGGTGATTCTGATTCCTATTTCGTTCAGTCAACAGAATGTGATATCAACTCTCAATGCGATCGTGTTTTCAAGCAAATGATTGCTCAGGAAACCGACAGTAAGTGTGAATCCCGTATATTGCCAGAAAGTATCTCGGTGGCTTCAGCTGTACGCAAGAAAGTGCTCAATATACTTGGACGTAACGTAGTGGTGGACAAATGCTGCGGTGGCGTAGCAGACCTCGAATTTGCAGATGTAAGACCTTATGCAGTACCGATTTCTAGTATCTTGACAACTCTGTGTATTACAGTGGTGCGAAAAACCATGCGGTGCAGCTGATTATCTTGTTCTAGCAAGGGTATTTCATACCATTATCATTCGTAATGTCCCTGTATTGACGAGCTCTAAGCTATGCGAAGCTAGGCGGTTCATTACAATGATTGACACCTTTTACGATCAAAAGGTAAGGGCTCAACAAGCAGTGTACTTGACAAAATAGACAATTCGAAACTGCCACCGGCTTAAGTTCTTGTGAATTTGCGGTCTCTCTTTCAAGTAATTCTGATAAGATGCTTAGTCTGCTGCTGCAACCTAAGGCTCGTTAGGTTGAAGGCGGTGAGGAGGGGGGGGGGGGGGGGGAATTGAGGGAGAGAAAGGGAGATGGCGGAGTGAATAAAGGGTGAGATTTCTGGGCATTCGTGTACTCTACCGCATGTTCTGTCTGTATCCGTCAATTTCTTCGGCGTCATTTATCAACGGAGTATAAAATTTATGGTAAGGATCAGCTGTGTTAGAGTTTTTACTGGGGTTTACTTCTCACTTTCTGCCTAAGGCTTTTAACCAAATGGGACATTCGCTCTTTATTAGAACTGCTTGCTTTACTGCTTACTCGGATACAGATTGCTTACTCGGTTCCCCACTAATCTGAAAGTGCTTACAAGCATTAATTTTCTTGCCTTTCCCAAGTGCAGTGTGTCTTCTTCTAGAAATTTACCACCACCAGTCGGTTTAGGCTTCAAAATATCAGGTTCTTGCAATGACGAAAAAGTTTTCGCGTGTCCATCATCTTTTAAAACGTTGTACTTGCGCCTTTTACAGGGTGCGTCAAAAGTCTGGGAGCCTAGTACTTTTTCTTACAAAATGAGAAGGGAAGTACCTAGAAATTGAAAATTTGGCGCACACATAATTCGATCCATTGCAGATACAACCCTTTTTTTGAACTGCAAAATTGCCTCTTTTGGCTTCCACGCGGCCCTACAAAATCTTGGCAAGTCCACATGTCATGGCACGCAGGTAGTCGTAATGAAATATGCCCCACGCCTTCACAATAACTGCTACTTTTACCCTGACAAATGTGCAGCACGATAGAGCAAGCTTTTATCTACGTATTTCCAAAAGAATCTTTTGCATTGCTTAGGAATAAAAATATTGGATTTTCAATTAGAAGCATGTGTACGTCGCATGCCGGAATTTTGGCTTCAATTGCGCAAAAAAACTTTAAATTATCGTTTAAAAAGTATAAAAAGTGTTTCCATGGCTGATTTTCAATAGATTCTAGTTTAGTAAACGTATGCAAAAAATAAAGCCTTGGTCTCAATGCCTTTTGCGCTTCCACAGTTTTCAAATTTGTTCTGAAGACGGATTTCCACTGGCACGTAGGTAACATTCGCAAACTTTTATTTTCCGTTCATGCAAGGACAGATCCTGGCAAAAGCAAAACTACGACCCAATAGCGCAAAGCCTCTTCTATATTGTGTGCATCGAAATGTCGTAGAATATTAACAGCATTTCTAGCCATAACAAAAATTGTAAATACTAAAAATTCTGGTTTTTTCGCTTTGCAAAAGTACTAGCTTGGTAATTTCCAATCGTACAAAAACATATGGCAGCCATTTAGTATTTTGTAGAGGATGACCGCAGCATCATGTGGCACGAAATTGAATTCAAAACCACCAGTACCTTTGCAATTGCAATACTGCAAAGTTACTCCCAGACTTTTGACGCACCCTGTAAAACGCAAGAGCTCGAGTTTTGAATGCATGAAATAGTTCAAGAGCATTGCAGATTAGTGTTTGGGCGTAACTGCCGTTCTCTCATGAAATGAAGCAATACGCTTCACTACAGAACGGACGAAGATTTCAGTACTAAAAATTTTGAGGATTTTTGAATCAGATTTCTCAGTTAAAAATAGCTTGGATGACCGATAAAAGGTTATCTTCTTTGCGCTAGTCATCAGCGAACCTGAAGAAAAATTTGTGCGCGTCAAGAATATATCCACCATGCTTCAATCTCTATACTGCGCAACAAAAAGCCCTGAAAAACGTTTTAAAAATACATTCGCTGTTTAATCCGAGAGTTCGCATCAACACTGCTTGATGCTATAAAAAATTTCAATTATATCAGGTCGTTCCGAAAGTAATATCGCATTTTTTGACCGAGCGCAAAATCCGTCAAAATAAAGATTTTCGGATAATCTAGTCGATGTCGTAATCGATGATGGTTAATGCTCTTCACAGTAGTGCTAAGGTAATAGCTGGGTACCGCTACTATGCGTAAAACACCTCTTTTTTTTGGGATATGTTTTGAATCCTCAGCAAATATCAAGTAACCTACAAAAAGCAAATGCAATAGTGAGCGACGCTTCTTTCACTGGTTAATCATTTTCGTGTTTTGAAAGCGTTTTATCTCAAGAAACATCTGTTTTAGTACCAGATCAGCTCATGATTGCATCTAATCGTAATCTCAAAATGCCTTGCGACTAGAAAATTTATTGATCGAAGTACACCTTATTACTGGCTCAGTGCGACTTGTCAGTCCTTTTGTATGAGTGATTTTGCAAAATCGGAGTGATGATGAAGAGACTGCACTACACTGTTGGGTGTTTACCCAACTGCAGCTCGAATGCCTTTGCGAAGTTCGTACAAGAATTTAGAGTTGCAAAACTTAACCACTGCAAGACATGAATTGCAGACTTTGGTGATTTTCTAAGAGCTTGCTGAAATGCAGTGAAAACAGAACATAGAAGATGGAAAGCTGCATTGATAGTATCAAAAAGTTTTAAGAATCTGTTTTCTGCAGGATGTGGTACTTCTTTAGAGAAAACGAAACTGCTTTTGGAGCAGCCTATTTGAAAACTGTGCAAATGCTTTTGAATGATGTCACTGTTTCTGCACCTCTATGTGGGCTGGCTAAAGCCTGGCACTCAAAGTTCATTGCTATGCAAGAGAATTTTCAAATCATTTGGTGTAAATACTTTCGAAAAACGAAGAGATGCAGAAATCTCCTTGCGAGAGAGGTTCTTCACTGTTTTTGCTTCCAGCTTGCTTGTACTTAGTATAAAATGGCAAGGACCCCACTCCAGCTTACGGTGCAAACGTTATTGCTGAATTTTCTCTCCATACATGTCAAAATCGTAAGTACAACCAGATTGGAAGGATCGGTTGAATGATGCTAAACACACTTTTCCAAACTTCAAATAAATTTCTTCCTAAATTTTCAACAGAAACCGGGAGTAGGTGGAAATAGTTGTTTGCGCAAAACTCTGACCTGCAAGGGCACGATACTTCGTTTAATGTTTACGTGCTATTATATTTTCGTACCAACGTTTTCACTCCCACTTACCAGCTCCTAGTTTATGGGTTCGAATGTGAAATCCAAATAGTAGGCCGTTCGTTCTGCGTATGTGCGGGATAAATGTAGATAAGGTCCGAAATAGGTTCGGTGGCTTCAACACGCACTGAGTAACAACATACATATACGTTGTCTTCACATACAGGGACTTTGTACATGACCAAAGGACCGCTAAAAGTCCCACAGAATCACTATTTGATGTGAGCTTACTGTTGTAGAAAGTTATAGAAAAATTACTAATTTCAGAGATCGAGCCAAAGTTTTTCTTTTATAGCACTGAAGTTAACCTGACTTTAGGTGAGAGTTGTTATTGGTGCTGAGGCTCCCTTGGATAAATTGTTCCGATTGGCAGAAGATTTGAATACTAACTCCTCAGATGGCCATGCGACTGAGGATTGGGAAAAAATGAAAGAGCATCAAGTTCGTAAAGAGATATATAATTTATTCGGTTGCTAATAGTTTTTATTGCAGGAAAGCTCTTATGTCAATGTCTTCTCCGGAAAGGACGAGATTTTCGCTTACGAACGAACAGTATCGCGATTGTACGAAATGCAAAATTCGCAGTATTGGTGTGCTAGGAGGCCTACTTCACACTAGATGGCAGCCATGTAGATTGAAGTCATGTTGTACATGGCGTATAGTATATTCAGATAGAGTATCTATAGTATATAGCTCTTTGAGTTAGGTAAAAATTTGCTATGACTATTCTTGAGCTCACTAGCTCACGTTTCGGCCTTCGCAGTTTCGTCAGGGTGGAAAGTGCTATCCAAAACTCTGTATCCCTGATATCCCTGAAGTGATTTGTTAGCCGTACCGGAAATTTTCATTGCTTGACTTCTAAAGTAGTATTAGCCTGAAAGCATGACCTTTCTCTTATTTGGAGAATTTGTTGCACTTACAATGAAATGTTTTAGGTATACCTTTATGATTATCGAGGAATGATTGTAGAGATCTACGTGAGATTTATGGCTCCGTGAAAACGTGGAAATAAAAGCTACTTTTGGTACGAGTGCGAGTTCTTGTTATCTAGGATCTGTTTATTTGGCTACATAATTTACACCGTTATTTCCCAACCTTCGCGTTTCTGCTGATTTTCTGAAGCACAAACTCAGTTATTGCTGAATCACTATCGAATTTGTATATTAATGGCCAAGGCTTGGCATGGGGTGATTTTATAAAATTGCGAAAATGAATTTCCGCTGAGCTCTCAAAAAATGCGACATTCCTACATCCCCTATGACGTGCTCAAAGAGGAATAACGATGAAGAAAAAGGAAAAGAGAATATAATGGAAAAAGATTGCAAAACGTGCTGTGAACATAACTGATGATGTTCGTACTCTCTGAGGTGGCATGTGTCCGGTTCACACCACCACAAATATTTAGAAACCCTGCCACCATTTAGGATATTTGGGGAGAGGGGAGGGGGGGGGGGGGGGGGAGTCTGATTACAGTTCGGATTTGAGTGTAGATACAAGTTACCTAAAAGTCAGAAATTGGATGAGAACAGGAGAAAATCATGACTTTGTTTTCCCCGAGCCATCCCAGATGGCTCGAGGCCACTCAACCTGAGAGAAGCTCGAACGTCTTCAATTCATATAGTTCTTTTTATACATTGTTCTTAAGCCCATTTCCCATGTATACACAGGATTTGAAGTCATATTGTTTCCTGCTCGTTTTGATCAAGACTTTTGTTTACTTTGGGGCACAATTTTGGAGGCCCACGCTTGCACGGGTGCATACTGGAGCTCGAAATCGTTGTTTTTGCAGCAAATGGAACGGTGAGGCGAGTGAGCACGTGAGACCTACAGAGATGAAGAGGAATAGATAAAAAGGCGAGAGGTGAAGGTTGGAAGGGTTTGCATACAGTCGAGTAGATTTCTCCCTCATTATAGTGTGCTGGCACCGTTGGTAAAATGCGGTAAAATTTGCGCGTGAACAACTAGCCACGCCGTAATGCCGGCATTTTGCGCGCGCAATTGAGCGGCGTCACAGACGTAGTTATTTTTTCACGCGCAGAATTTACCGCATGTTATCTGCAGTGCAAGCACATCATTTTAAGCGGAAAAACTACTCAGCCGTACATGTATCACGTGACAATGGCTGCTGGGAAAGTTCCTTTGGGAAAAAGAGGGAAAATCTCGCACGAATGGGCGTGGAATTTTGATCAGTCTCCAGAAGAAATTCTTCAAATTAAAATACCATTTTGTCAGGATTATACTAACTTTGCGAGAACAATATCTCTGCTTTATATCCAAAAACATATACAGCCTACCCGTGTACCACCCACCTGTGCAAAGCCCTCCAGTGACCGAATGACAGAATTTTATGTCCTGCCTTCTCCGACATAGTTTGTCCCAACTGATTATTCAGCACTTTCGATCGTCGCTGACACCACTTCGTGCCCGTTCAGGGCGTTTTCTCTGATAAAACAGCTGCGTCCGGACATGCTAAGCGGAAGTCATCCGAGTCCGGTTGATAGCTGTTATCAAGACATCACAAGCTATTGATCATGAAGGTTCTGGGGATTCTCTCTGCAAAGGGTGATACCCTTGCCTTAATTGTTCCTTGTGATGCTACCAAGCTTGATATCTAATTATTTTTCGATTTGTGACATTTCCAACTTCTCCGCCTTTGTTTATTCGCATCAATGGCCTCTATGTTTTTCAATCCATGTGGAGGGCAATTACTACATACGTACTCCTACTCGGAAATGTCATACTTCAGGACTTCGTCGAAGCAAACACATCGACAATGTACCATATTTCGGACTAATGAGAGCTTTGAGATAAGCTACCGTATCTGTTTGCATTTGCAGTAACCCAGTACAACTACAGGGGCACTGGAATAATTCCGCTTCCGACGTTAAATGAAATTTCTAAAGAGCTCCGTTTTGTGAAAAAAAATTGCAAATAAAACGTAACGCCCCTGTATTCGACCCTGTACTGCTGGGTACATAACAGTTATGTAAAAAGGGTTAAACACCTATGTGAAGAAAGAGGAGAATTATAGTTTCGTTTCTTCCGGGACACATCAAAATTGCTCACTAGGTAGCATGATGTCACCTAGATTCGAAAAAAGCCTCTAATTTACGTAAGTTACCGTAACTTTCTGAACATTGTTCCTACTACATACACATCGCGCAATATACAACAATTTTACTGTCTTATAGTTACATGTGCGTTGCAAACGAGCCTTTCTTCATTTAGTGGGCACGATAATTTTGCCCTTTTTTCATGTGAAGGCAAAATTGAGACTTGAATTAGTTAATTTTCTAGAAGCTCACCTGTACAAATTTCTAGGTTGTTTTCGTGTTGTGGTAGATAGCTTGATAAGTAAATGCACCCACGTACTGCCTAATCAGCGAACATCAAAAGAATTGTAATTGCAAATTCAAACTTCCTCAGCAAGAAATACAAAATTTTTCACATCTGTGCACTATGAGAAAAGCCAGTATCTCACTCTTATTGCCTTTTTTTCATTGAAATACAGAATGTCCCAAAAAGATGTGCACACTGTTTGATCGTTGATGACTCTCCTGCTTTCGGGTTCTTTTGCCAAGCTTGAGAGTACCATTCTGTGGGCAAGGATAAACTTAGATTTACAGTATGGAGCAAATCATCAATCACTCTTCGTTACTGTAGGATCACGGTATGAACTTTCAGCATACAGCGTCACTGTGGAATAAGCCCTTTGATGAAATAATTTCGAAAAAAAATCTAAAAATTTGTGTAGCAAGGTTTTCAGGCGTGCTAATTTCACTACATAACTTTCCACCAGTTTCTGAGCTTTCTTGTGTATTCACATTTCTGAAGAACACTGGAAAATCATTTGTTACCCTGAATCTGAAATAACTCATGGAAGAAGCAATGTACAGGATATTCATCGACGACTACCCCAACTAGTGCAATTACACCACCGTGGGCGTGCTTTTTTGGAGCCTTTCCAGCTTAACAGTAGGACAGGACAGGACAGGGAAAGGACAGGGATGCTACGAGCTACAAAGTCCCCGCGACCTGCAGCGTATTGTCAAGCTGGAAAGGCCACCAATAAGGTAAGCCCAAGGTGGTGTAATTGCACGAGTTGGGGCAGTCGTCGACGAATATCCTTTACTGACGTGCAGTTTTCATATTTAGAATCAGTAACTTCGATTAACTCAGTTCAAGAGTTTCTGGCTTGTTTGGCTTTCTTTCTGAGGCAAAAAAACGCTTTCAGTGGCTTAAAATCCCCCTCGAACTTCCTACCGTAATCCTACAGTAATGAAGAGTTGCCGATAAGTCGCTCCATACTGTAAATCTAAGTTGAGCCTCTCTCTAAAGAACGTTACCTCAAGCTCGGCAAAAGACATGAAAGCAAGAGAGTTATTAACAATCAAACAGTGTGCACATCTTTTTGGGACACTGTATAATTACTGAACCAGAGTGCACGTTCCGACTCTCGCTGAACTGCTCTTTCCAAAGAAATCAAGTAGCGGACGGGAATCTATCTGTAATAGCCATCAAAGTGAGAAATCATTTTCTAAGCAGACCTAACATTTTTGAATTAAACTACTTGTGTGAGTTACACAAAAGGAGCGCTGCCAACTTTTTGAAGAGAATGCAAAAAGGAAGTCTGTTTAGCGGTTAATCATTGCTTGAGTTGACTACCTGTAGCCGTGTGGCGCAAAAATGAATGTGCCCGCATTTTTTTCGCACAGTGTTAAAGGCGTTATCGGCATGATATTTTTCGTGAAAGAGTTGTCTGCAACAAATTACATTAGGTTGTCCCAAAAGTAAACTCCTTTTTTGAATCAAGCTGTTTTTGATTTTCTAGTATATTTAGGATATCGTTCGATAGAGCAAATCAAGCTCTACAAAACGACCGCCAAGGGTTCGCCTAAGTCGCCTTACATGTAAAGTTTGAGGCCAAAATCGAAAAAAATTTTGTCACCTGAAAATTGGATTTCTGCGACAAAGAATCCTACAGACCTCTAACTTGGTCATTGTACAGTAGGCATGTAGTAGTACACAAATATGCCTTTTACCGAATTTTTTCCGAGCATAGAAAGCGAGAAACAAAAATTGTCCAAAATGGCAAACTCCGCCCCCAGCCCCTCCCACACATGTCGTTATACTACAAGCCTTACTAAGTATAATTTCAAAGCCTTACCCCTGTATGTGCTCTTATAGTCGAGAAATACCAAGTTTTACATAAAAAACCCGAGAAAAGAGGCATTTGGGCATTTTGGGACCCTATTTGTTTCTCAATTTTGAGTTTCGGAAAAAATCCACCAAATACATTTTTGGGTACTACTATGTGTCTACTATATAAAGACCAAGTTGGAAGTCCGTAGGAACTTTTCAGAAGGAGATCCGATTTTTAGGACAGTTAAAAATTTTGATTTTTGGCTCCAAAATTTACCTAGGTTACGAATTAGGTGGAACTCTGGTAGTCTTTTTGTAGAGCTTGATGCGCTACAAATGGTACCCTGAATCTGTCAAAAAAACAGCTCAAGTTATTCAAAAATGGAGTTTACTTTTGGGACAACCTAATACATAGTAAAAAAATTATGCTGTACAATGGGAGGAGAGGAGAGGGAACTAAATGCATTACTACAATCTCAAAACGTAACCAATGCGCTACTTTATTCCGTTCTCTCAGACTGGACAACCTGAAAAGCAGAAAATATATTTGGGGTGGTGTGGAACCTATCTGGGCGTGACTTCTGCTGACTGCAAATGCTTTTATGCGTTCATCTCGTTAATAAGAGCAGAGAAAAGAAGTGGTAAAGAAGTAGGAGCATAAGTGAAGCCCGCTTTCTCGTATTGATTCTGCGCCGCTGCAGCTCCATGAGAACTACGTCCTTAAAAGCTACTCGGCAGCACCTCAACAGGGCCCCAGACAAGAGCTCGACTTGCAGCCGACTTCCGCTCCAAATGGGTGCTCATTTCAGCTCTAACTCACTTGTATTGCTATACACAAAATATATACGCTTGGATTTTTTGCAT